CTAAATCTGCACAGCAGGGTGGTGATCCTGTTCCGTTTGCTATATGCCAGCCCCCTCTTGCACTGCAGTGCCTCCAACTTGTTTTCTTCCTCCCCAAATATAACCAAGATCTTAAAAGTTAACATTGCAAATCAACTTTGTCATTTCATACAAATGTTTTAATACAGGACATTTGTTAAAAATTACTTTTTTATATTTATTTAGGGGACACAAGTGCCAATTTCTTTTTTCTTTCTCTTTTTTTTTTTTTGAGATGGAGTCTCACTCTGTCACCCAGGTAGAGTGCTGTGGTGTGATCTCATCTCACTGCAACCTCTACCTTCTGGGTTCGAGGGATTCTCCTGTCTCAACTTGGGACTACAGGCTCACAACACCAAGCCTGGTTAATTTTTCTATTTTAAGTAGAGACAAAGTTTCACCATATTGGTCAGGCTGGTCTTGAACTCCTGACCTCAGGTGATCCACCCACGTCGGCCTCCCAAAGTGCTGCGATTACAGGCATGAGCCACTGCACTTGGCCACAACTGCCAGTTTCTTCCATGCATACATTGCATGGTGGTGATGTCTGGGCTTTTAGCATACCCATCACCCGAATAGTGAAATTTCTGCCCAATCATTTCTCGCCCTTCACTCTCCTTCCACCCTCCGACCTTTTGTGGATTCAGTGACTGTTATTTCACTCTATAAGTCAGTAAGTACCCATTATTTAGCACCTACTTATGAGATCAAACAGTATTGAACGTTCTCTTCCTGAGTTATTTCACTAAGGAAAATGGCTCCCAGTTTCATCCATGTTGCTGCAAAAGACATGATTTCTCTTTTTTTATGGCTGAGTATTTTGTGGCCTATGTGTACCATATTTTAATTTTTTAATTTTTAATTTTTGTGGGTAAACATAGTAGATGTTATATGTCTATAAGATATATGAAATATTTTGATACAGATATACTATGTGTAATAATCACATAGGGATAAATGGGGATTCACTATCTCAAGCATTTCTTCCTTGTGTTATAAACACTTCAATAAGTTATTTTTAAATGTAGAATTACATTATTTTTGATTATAGTCACCCTGCTGTGCTAGCAAATACTACATGTTATTGTTTCTATTTTTTTGTACACATCAATTATCCCCACTCTCCCACCCACTGGTAACCATCAGTGGATTATGGGCTGGGGGGTGCATATCATTCTCAGCCTCTGGCAAACACCATTCTACTCTCTATCTCCATGAGTTCAATTGTTTTAATTTTTAGCTACCACAAATAAGTGAGAACCTACCAAATTTGTCTTTCTGTGCCTGGCTTATTTTACATAATGTGATGCCTTCTGATTCCATCCATGTTGCTACAAATGACAAAATCTTATTCTTTTTTACACCTGAATAGTAGCCCATTTTTGTACGTGTACCACATTATTTATACTTTCATATACATTTATACTATATGAACACTTAGGTTGCTTTCATATCTTGACTACTGTTAATAGTGCTGCAATAAACGTAGATTGCAGATATCTTTTTAATATGATGATTTATCTCCTTTTGGCTATATACCTAGAAGTAGGATTGCTGTAGCTAATGGTAGTTCTATTTTTAGTTATTTAAGAACTCTCCATACTGTTTTCCATAAAGGTACTAATTTACGTTTCCACCAGCAGTGTGTAAGTGTTCCCTTTTCTCTGCAGCCTCACCAACATCTGTTGCTTTTAGACATTTTAGTAATAGCCATTCTGACTCATGTAAGATGATATCTCATTGTGGTTTTCATTTGTATTTCTCTGATGATTAAGGATGTTTAGGATCTTTTCATATTTACTGGCCACTGGCATATGTTGTTTTGGAAAATATCTATGTTATGTCCTTTGCCCACTTTTTAATGGGGTTACTTGTTTTCCTCTTGTTGAGTTGTTTGAGTTCCTTGTAAATTCTGGGTATCAGCCCTTTGTCATATGCATAGTTTGCAAATATTTTCTTCTGTAGTTTGTCTGGTTACTCTATTTCTTTTGCTATGCAGAAACTTTTTAGTTTAATCAAGTCTACTTCTGTTTTTGTTGTGTTTGATTTTGAGAATTTTGTCATAAATTCTTTGCCAATGTCTAGAAGAGTTTGTCCTAGGTTTTCTTTCTTCCAGAATTTTTATAGTTTCAGGTCTTATGTTTACATCTTTAATCCATCTTGAGTTAATTTCTATATATAGTGAGAATTCTAGTTCCAGTTTTATTCTTCTTCATACGGCTATTCAATTTTCCCAGCACCATTATTGAATAGGGAGGGTGTCATTTCCCCAGCGTACATTTTTGTTGGCTTTGTCAAAGATTGGTTGTTTGGATGGTTGATTGGATGTGACTTTGTTTCATAGCTCTTTATTCTGTTCCATAGCTCTTTATTCTGTTCCATTGATCTATGTCTATTTTTATACTAGTACCATGTTGTTTTGATTACTGTAGCCTCATAGTATCATTTGAAGTTGGATAATGTGAAGCCTCTGGCATTGTTCTCAACCCATTGATTGATCAGGAACGTGCTGTTCAATTTTCATATATTTATGTAGCTTCCAAAGTTCCTTTTCACAGTGGTTTCTAGCTTTATTCCACTATGATCTGAGATAATTTGATTGTTTCAAATTGATATGATTTTGATTGCTGTAAATTTTTTATGACTCGTTTTGTGGCCTAACATGTTGTCTCTCTTGGAAATGTTCCATGTGCTGATGAAAAGGATGTATATTTTATAGTTGTTGGATAGAATGTTCTATAAGTCTGTGAATGTCCTTTGGTCTAAAGTAAGTTCAATGTTTTTGGTAATTTTATTTCTTGGTGATCTGTCTAGTGTGTGAGTAGGGTGTTAAAGTCCCTTCTATTAAAGTCCCCTACTGTCAAATCCTTTCTTTAGGTCTAGTAGCATTTGTTTTGGGTGCTCCTCAATTGGGTGCATATATATTTAGAATTGCTACATTCTCTTGCTGACAATTGTTATATCTTCTTGCTCTCAAATGATCGCTTTATCGTTATGTAATGACCTTCTTTGTCTTTTATTACATTTTTTGATTTAATGTCTATTTTAGCTGATCTAAATATATCTACATCTGCTTGTTTTTGGTTTCTGTTTGCATGGGATATCTTTTTTCACTCCTTTGCATTCAATGTATGTGTCTTTACAGGTGAGTGTCTTATAGGCAGCATATAGTTGGATAATATTTTTAATAAATTCTGCCAATCTGCATTTTTTAAGTGAGGAATTTAATCCATTTACATTCAAGGTTGATGTTGATATGTGAGGCTTCATTCCTGTCATATTATTGATTATTTTCAAGCTGTTTTATAAATTGTTTCTTTATTTTTCTTTTTTTGTCATGATTTGATGACATTCTGTTGCATTGACATTTGATTCCTTTCTCTTCCTCCTTTGTGTGATTGTTTTTTATAAATACACAAAGTGAGCTTTATATTTACATGTGTTTTTGTGATGGTGAATATTGAGCTTTCATTTCCATGCTTAAGACCACTTTGAGCATTTTCTGTTGTGTTGACATAGTGTTGACAAATTCACTCAGCATTTGCTTTTCTGGGAAGAACTTTCCTCTTCATTTATGAAGCTTATTCTGGCAGGATACAAAATTCTTGGCTGACAAATAACGTTTTAAGCATATAGAAAATACACAAAGTAATGTAATAAACGTGTCACCCAGCCTTCATAGTTACTTGTCATGTGCCATTTTTGTTTCATCTACATTTCAACCCACTCCTCACCCCTCCAAATGTATTATTATTTTAGGGTTTTTTTTTGTGAGACAAAATGTATATACATTAAATGGTAGAACCTTAACTGTACCCTTTCGAGAAAACAGTACACCTGTATAAAATTCCTCTTTCTAAGAATAAAATTCCAGTCTGGGCAGGGTGGCTTATGCCTGCAATCCCAGCACTTTGAGAGGCTGAGACAGGTGCATCACTTGAGGTCAGGAGTTTGAGACTAGCCTGGCCAACATGGTGAAATCCTGTCTACACTAAATATACAAAAATTAGCCTGGTCTGGTGGTGCATGCCTGTAATCCCAGCTACCCTGGAGGCTGAGGCAGGAGAATCTCTGGAACCCAGGAGACCAAGGCTGCAGTGCGCCGAGATCACACCACTGCACTCCAGCCTGGGTGACAGAGGGTGACTGTCTAAAAATAAATAATAAAATAAAATAAAAAATTCCCCACTTAACAGTTATTCATGTGCATGTGAATCACATGGGAATATTATGTGTCAGAGGTTGAAGGGGGACTAGGAAAAGTATTTTGATGGCAGGCTGGAGAACATCATGAGAGTAAACATCGGACCTGTTGACTATCATCTTGGCAATAAGTGTTGGGTCCTGGCCAAAGTGCTTGAATGCAACATGGAGCCAATCAATAAATCCATCCCCCATGCTTTTCCTGGCCCTGAGGTAATCAGCTACCCAGTTCACGTCTTGATGGGAAGCTCTGCCATGTGAAAGGATGACATCTCAGGTTTCTTGACAACTGGGTGACTTTTGAGAACAGATCTAGGACAGATCTATTCTTGGATTGTGGTCAGGCATCGGCCTACTTACATCATATGGAACAGGTGACATCCAAATACGTTAAGAACCTCTGACAATGAAGAGAAGAACACAAACTCAATTTTTACAGGATCTATGAAAACATGTTATGGTAAAAGAAATACAAATGGGTGTTTCTCCCATAAAGAGGCATCCAACCTCAGTGGGGGTCATAGGAAAATAAATTACACACAAAAAAATGTTTTGTGTGACTATCAGGAAAATTGAAGGCTTCCTACTAATATTTTCATGATAAGTAAAAGCATACTAGCCAGGCATAGTGTCTCATTCCTGTAATCTCAGCACTTGGGAAGCTAAGGCATGAGGATCCCTCAATCCCAGGAGTTTGAGGCTGCAATGAGATAGGATCATGCACTCCAGCCTGGGTAACAGAGAGTGAGACCCCATTTCTAAATAAATAAATAAATAAGTGAATGAGTGAATGAACATACATACATACATATACACATACTGTTTTTAAACATGTTTATTGGGTGTATAAATGGCCTTTTAAGGCACAGTTAACAAATATATATTGAGTTGAAAAACACGTGTTCTTGCATGCAGGATTCTACCTTCTGGAATGCATCTGATAGTACTACTTGAAAATGTGTGTAGAAATGCCCACGCTAGCATATTGGTAGTGGACATGTAAATAACAGCAAAACACAACAAAGGAAAAAGAAAAGTACATATATGTGAGCAATCCTTTTGGTTATCCTGGGTTTTTAAGATAATGTCCACTGAAGAAAAGCAAATCAAATGCAGAGCAACTGAGCAGGAAACCGGGGGAAAAATACTCTCAGAGTCATAAGATTATCTCATTACACTTAAGTTTTGCTGATGCTTCAAGCTTCCTGGGTAAGTTGTGCCAAAGCACCTTTCTCTGAAAATTTTCTTGCTGCAGAACAAACCACGTTTAGTGTCCGCACCTGGGGGATGGGAAAAAGGGCACGGTCCTTATTTGTATTTTGGAGTGAAAGAAGCATTAAAGTTCTTGCAAAATTTACCAAGGATTCTCCTGGTCTAATTTCAGATCAAACTTCCAACTCCAGGTAGCCTCTGCGGCTTTTTTTAAAAATGTATAATTAAGATGTACTTTGATTTGGACTCTGTTGCTATTGGGCCTGTATATGCAGTTTCAAGATATCCCCATACACCTGCCTGTAATGTTCCTTCTGGAACAGAATGGGCTTCTGAGTTGAGGAACTTGGGAATATACTGAGTTTCTCTGTTCATGCCAGGGGATGGCTGTGGACAAAAAGTAAAGGAGGAGACGCCGGAATCCTGATGTCCAAAGATTCCAAAGTTCAAGGATTATTGTAACCCTTCAGATATCTCATTTTTGCTTTGTTCCTTCTGTCAGTCTTAGTAAAGGGCCCTAAAGTCAGAAGTTGCTGGGGCTTTCTCGGCTTCAGCTTCAGCTTCGTATTTAAGCCCATGGGGCTGGGGACAGGGTTGCACACAGCACTTCACTGGGCACCTCCTGATCCTGGCCATGCGTCCTAAAATCTGACAGTTCTTACACGTTCTCCGTGGGTTGAGGAGCAGGGAGGGCAGTGAGTCAGCATCAATCACAGGTGGCATTCAGAGGTTCTTGTGAGGATATATTTTTGGATTTGGGTATTGGTTTTTCAGGATAGGAGACAGACAAGTGGCCCATTAGGTGTCTGGAAATTCATAATGCAAAGTCATATCCACAACTTATTGTAAACAGAAACACAGAGAAAGAACCAAAGGATGCAAGGTTGATGATGATAATCCAGCTGAGTAGATCGTCTTAGATTATGGATGCCAAGCAGACTCTACAGAACACAGTGGGGCTCCCAGGGTGAGGGAGAGTGAGGTAGAGGGAAAGTTTTCCTCTTCAGCTGGACTTTTTCCTGCCTGAGGAATTCAGTTGATTGCATTAGCTTTACATGTGATCTAATCAGTCCAATGCAGTCACATTCGATCTAATAATCTCCCCCACTTTCAAGCTAGGAAAGGATATTTTGTTTGGTGTTTACTTTTTCTCTGCGTTATCACCTTACCACATATGCGTCTATCTAATATAATGGACCATAATTTGATATTTGTCATTTCCAAGCATTTCAAAAATTGTAACATCTGTGTGTACAATTTTAACACTATATATTATTTTCTTCATGTGCAAAATATATATACATATGTCAATATGTTGTCTGTCTTATTCTGCACCTTGAAAGCTGGGCAGGGTCTTAAATACTTCTAGGTGGGAATTGGGACACATATCAGATAGGGATAAGTTCCTTACGTTCCTGTTCCTGTGCCCCCAGCTTTGAATTCTTGCTTATTAACACGATGATGGGGCTTTGCAAATCTCCCCTTATCTTTGTCTAGGTCCCCAGGGCATTGACGATGGAAAAATTTCTTATTGAGGCCATGATGAGTGGCAGGAGGGAGAAATCTCTTCAGCCAATAGGAGCGAGTCATGCCCAGCTTAAGGGGTTAGAAAAGCCAGGTTCACAGGAACAACCTGGACCTCATTCTGGGCATGTGTTGTGTGAGAGAGCACCTTTCACTGGAGCTTCACCATGGGATGGGGAACTGAAGACCAGACTGCCACTGCCCCTCCATCCAATGCCCCATTGACCCACCTTCTTTCCACCAGATCTCCTTTACACAAAGTGACTTGGATAAGGAGAAGAGACCATTAGAAGAAAAGACGCTCTCTTCTCATTTAAGTAAGGGCCACGCCCAGGCAAGGTAAGACCTTTGGCTGTTCCTTTGGAGGCTAACAGGAGGGATAGAATTAGGCATACTGACCTGTGTCTTTGGCAGGGTTTCACTTTGAGATTAGAAATGGGAACCGACTTACAGTCATCAGAGGGATTTCAGAAATATGGCGTTGATCCCCTGGAACTCTGTGCTTCCCATTCACACTCCAAACTGGCTGAACAGCCTCAACTGAGAGAATGACCCACAAATATGGGTCAGGTATAGACTTTAGGGGTCTGTGCCCAGGGAGAGATGAGTCACATAAATTTTCTTTTGCACTGAGATCAGAGCCCAATTCAAATAAGAGAGAGAATTCCAAGGAAACTAAGCTCAAAGTCAGAAACAGCACTGCTAAATTATGTAAGATGTGATTCTTCCAAGGTGAGAAGAGATTGTGGATGGAAAAACACAGTCTCCTCTGGGAAGAGAACCGGGAGCTCTGGCATCCAGGGTCTTACAAGTCTTGGACTCTGGAGAACAGAGAAGAGCCGAGTTTTGGTGGCAGCCTCAGCTCTGGTGTGTCCAGGATGGACTAGAGCTCTAAAGGTGTTCAGTTGGAGGCAGTCACTCAGACTTTCATTTTATACACAGAATCAGGGTCCAGCTCAGATGTGGGAATTCCAGGAAGAGAGAAATTCATTCCATGGACAGCTGCCAAGATAGAGCAGCTAGGATCTTGCTTTTTTGTTGCAAAGGTCAGATGAGAAGGTAATTTATACAGAGCTTGAGCAGTAAAGGGGTGTCTCAGTGGCTGTGAGGATTTTAGAGATCCTGACATCCAGAGAGCATTTGACCCAGGAGGGGCTTAGCCTCACTTCCTTAGGGAGGCAGAGGGGGCCGGGAAGGAGGAGAGATTAATGGGGCTCACCTGAAGGTGCATGGGGACCTTCTGGGAATAAGCATCCATGGGAGCCGTTCTGGTAAGTCACTCACATGCTTCCTCTTCAGGACACCATCAAGGACATGAGCCAAAATTGTGAAAGGATTGCTTGATTCTGGAAAAGGAACCAAAGGCCTCTGACCCTGTACACATCAGTGAAATGAGGAGACCCATGAGGCCTGCTGTGGCTCACCCCCAGAGGCCCACACTGGGCAGAGCAAGTGGTCCAGATCTTAATCTCTAGGAGACCACCCACTGCCACTTCGGAAACGCATGGTGACCTCTCTGCACACTCCGTCTGAAGCCATTTATCACAAAACAGCAGGTGTGGGACCAGCAGGTCTATTCTTTGCTGATCTGGGAACAGCTGTCTGAGCTCACCTGGCTCCAGAGACTTCTGTGCTGTTGTACAGACCTGTGCTGTGGCCACCCAGGTGGCCTCTGTCTTTCTCGCTGAAGGCTGGCTCATCCCAGCCTCGCTGCCTGTTCCCTAGGATCCAGCCCTGGATGGAGAAGCTCAGAGCTCCTAGGAAGAAAATGGGCCCACCCCTTCCTTGGACAGAAGATAAAGGAGCCTGTTGGTGGATCAAATGAGGCTTTAGCTGGGGGCACCCAGACCCTATTCAACAGAGGACACAGCTGTAAAGTGAGAACAAAGACCTGCTATTTCTCAGGCAATTTTAGACACACTGTGTTAATACAGTACGTGACACAACGAGGGGCAGTCTTGGGAAAGGAGTTTGAACAGTATCCTCTAAGTGGAAACTGTTTCATTTAGGTCTAAAACTACTCACAAATTTTGTATTTCATGATAGACATTTGATATTTTTGGATGTTTTATGACATTCACGCATTTCTTTGTAATCAGAAAATATTAGGGTATAATCATTCATATGTGTTTGTGTATTACAAAGTACAGCAAAATGAATGTATATGTAGATCCTCCCACTTTAAGTCAGAAAAGTCTATAGCTCTTTACTCTCCCATTCTGAGTCAATAAAGCACTGATATCTACTAAATTTTAACAGCATTGTCTCTGGAGAAATGTTGGTATTTTTCAATTTGATGAAACAATAAAATCGCCATGCCATTTTCTTTGCTCTAAAACTGTCGGAATGTATTAAGTGCTTATTGATTATATTTCTTTCTTCTTCAACCTGGATTATATTATTTGCCTAATTTTAATCTTCCATTTTATAGGTTTCAATTGAGCTTATTTTTTAAAAAATAGATTTATTAAAGTAGCATTAACTTTCAATAAGCTGCACATATTTAAGGTGTTCAACTTATTTAGTTTTGATGTATGTGTATACCTGGGGAATCATCGACATAGGCAAGACAATGAACATATCAATTCCCCCAGACACTTTATCATGATTACCACCCATTGTGATTCTTCCTTTGCACTCCTTCCAACCCATCTCTAAGCAACCACTGCTTCTAGTAACAATAGATTGATTTTTACGTTCCAGAATTCTGTATAAACAGAATCACACAGCATAAGATCCATTCCCAGTGTAGCCGATATCAACAGTTCACTACCTTTCAGTGCAAAATTGGTGTCTGACAAGAGCCCTTTTCTCACAGATGGTACCTTCTAGGTGTGTCCTCACATGGCAAAGGGGCAAGGGCAATCCCTTCAACATCCTTCATAAGGGCACTAATTCCATTCATGAGGATGGTGCCCTCCTGGCTTATTTATTTCCCCAAAGATCTCACACCTTATGCTATTATGTGGGGGATTAAGTTTCCACTTATGAATTTGGAGATTGAGGAGCACAAATATTCAGACCACAGCAGAGAGTTAATAAGAAATAAAAATTACAGTGGAGATGATATCATTAATACTTGGGGTTTGGGAATTTGATGTTCCTATCACAAAGGTTAAAACAACAACCCGTAACAAAATAAAGCTCCAATAGAAGGTAAATCTGTAGAGAAAAGAAAAATTCAGTTTTGATACGGTTAATGCTAATGGGTTGTACCAGGAATTTTGAGGTTTCTGAGGATAGGCGGGACCCCAAGGTTCCCTCCTATGACATTTTTCCTGAAGTTTCTCACACTCTTCCTCAAACTGAAAACGAATAAAAATATTTGTTTTATTATTTAAGTAATTAAACATAAAGAAGGCCAGTTATGCACGATCCTCAAACAATGATTTGGTCAGTAGTGCTCCGTTGGGCAGGGGCACATAACTTCACACCCACAGAAGCATGATGTCCCATGACACAGGAGACGTCTCCCTGAGCTGGAGCCCTGCCTTCTACAGCTGACCAGAGGCTTCCGCAAGCATGCAGTGCTCTACAGCCCTGCCACAGAGGCTTAACCCTGAGAAAGTAACTGATTACCATGTGCCACAATGTGTGCTCTACAGAGATTCTGCCCTTTATTTTTTTTTATTTTTAGTTTTTTGGGGTACATAGTAGGTGAATATATTTATGAGTTACATGAGAGATTTTGATACAGGCATGCAATGCATAATAATCACATCAGGGTAAATGAGGTATCCATCCCCTTAAGATTTATCCTTCGTGTTATAAGCAATCCAATTATACTCTTTTAGTTATTTTAATGTACAATTAATTTTTTTTACTAGAGTCAGCCTGTTGTGCTATCAGATAAGATTAGGTCTTATTCATTCTATTTTTTGTACCCACTAACCCTCCCCACTTCCACCCCCATCCCTCCACTACTCTTCCCACCTTCTGGTAACCATCATTCTACTCTCTGTTCCCATGAGTTTGTTTTAATTTTTAGCTGCCACAAATAAGTGAGAAAATGTGGTTTGTCTTTCTGTGCCTGGCTTATTTCACTTCACCTAATGACCTCCAGTTCCATCCATTTTGTTGCAAGTGACAGGATCTCATTTTTTATGGCAGAATAGAATTCCATTGTGTATATATATCACACTTCTTTACCCATTTATCTGTTGATGGACACTTAGGTTGTTTCCAAATCTTGAGTATTGTGAATAGTGTTGCAAGCAACATGGCAGTGCAAATAGCCCTTCAATATACTGATTTCCTTTCTTTGGAATATATTCCTAAGAGTAGGGATGCTGGATCATAAAGTAGCTTCGTTTTTAGTTTTTTTGAATTCCTCCAAACTGTTCTGCATTATGGTTGTACTAATTTGCATTTCCACCAACAGTATACAAGGATTCCCTTTTCTCCACATCCTCACCAAGAACCACGAGTCCAGCATGCCATGATGCCCTGTGCAGTAGATATGGGTTCAGGCTCAATCCACAGTTTGACTGTGTTTATTTTCTTCAGAGATGTGACCCTAGCCACAGATTTCTAATGAGTGACCTGACAGATTAGCAGCTAAGATTGTTTTCAGTTTGCAGCCCCATAGATGATGTCTTCATTCAAATAGTCTATAGCTTTCAATATGGAAGACCAAACAGCTAGAAAGTAGTCAGTGACACAAAACCCTTGAGTTCTGACCACTGAGTGGAGTGGCCACTCCTGCTTCAGGTTCCACATGGCTGGCACTGAGGTTAAACACCCACAGCAGCCCAGTGGAACCATGAAGTGTCATTCCTCCTGATCCATTAGAAAACGAGGACTAGGCATTTAGTAAATACTCAGTGAATCGTGTGTTGGGGGTGGAGGGGTGGGGTCCCATACAGCCAAAAGCATTGCTTTAGACAATGGAGGGGGGCAAAACATTCCCACCAAAGATAAACCTTAATTTTTTTAGAGTTGAAGTATTTCTGTTCCAATCCAATTTCCTTCTAGATTATATTGTTTCTATTTACCAAGTGACATTCTGAGTTATTTTATTTATTTTTATTGTACTTTAAGTTCTGGGGTACATGTACAGATCTTGCAGGATTGTTGCATAGGTACACACATGGCAATGTGGTTTGCTGCCTCCATCCCCATCACCTATGTCTGGTGTTACTCCCCATGTTATCCCTCCCAACTCCCTACCCCTTGCTGTCCCTTCCTTAGTACCCCCCAACAGACCCCAGTGTGTGATGCTCCCCATCCTGTCTCCATGTATTCTCATTGTTCAACACCCGCCTATGAGTGAGAACATGCAGTGTATGATTTTCTGTTTTTGTGTCAGTTTGCTGAGAATGATGGTTTCCAGCTTCATCCATGTCCCTACAAAGGACATGAACTCATTGTTTTTTAGGGATGCATAGTATTCCATGGTGTATATGTGCCACATTTTCCCTGTCCAGTCTATCATTGATGGGCATTTGGGTTGGTTCCAAGTCTTTGCTATTGTAAACGGTGCTGCAGTGAACATACATGTGCATATGTCTTTATAATAGAACGATTTATAGTTCTTTAGGTATATACCCAGTAATGGGATTGCTGGGTCAAATGGTATTTCTCTTTCTAGATCCTTGAGGAATTGCCACACTTCTTCCATAATGGTTGAACTAATTTACACTCCTACTAACAGTGTAAAAGTGTTCGTATTTCTCCACATCCTCTCCAGCATCTGTTGTCTCCAGATTTTTTAATGATCACCATACTAACTGGTGTGAGATGGTATCTCAATGTGGTTTTGATTTGCATTTCTCTAATGATCAGTGATGATGAGCATTTTTTCATATGTTTGTTGGCCTCATATATGTCTTCTTTTGAAAAGTGTCTGTTCGTATCCTTCACCTACTTTTGAATGTGTTTGTTTGCTTTTTTCTCGTAAACCTTTTTTAGTTCTATGTAGATTCTGGATATAAGTCCTTTGTCAGATGGGTAGATTGCAAAAATTTTTTCACATTCTGTTGGTTGCCGATTCACTCTAATGATTGTTTCTTTTGCTGTGCAGAAGCTCTCGAGTTTAATTAGATCCCATTTTTCTATTTTGGCTTTTGTTGCCAATGCTTTTGGTGTTTTCGTCATGAAGTCCTTGCCTATGCCTATGTCCTGAGTGGTTTTGCCTAGGTTTTCTTCTAGGGTTTTTATGGTGTTAGGTCTTATGTTGAAGTCTTTAATCCATCTGGAGTTAATTTTAGTGTAAGGTGTCAGGAAGGGGTCCAGTTTCTGCTTTCTGCACACTGCTAGCCAGTTTTCCCAGCACCATTTATTAAACAGGGAATCCTTTCCTCATTGCTTGTTTTTGTCAAGTTTGTCAAAGATCAGATGGTTATAGATGTGTGGCATTGCCTCTGAGGCCTCTCTTCTTTCTGTTCCATTGGTCTATATCTGTTTTGGTACCAGTACCATGCTGTTTTGACTACTGTAGCCTTGTTGTATAGTTTGAAGTCAGGTAACATGATGCCTCCCGCTTTGTTCTTTTTGCTTAGAATTGACTTGGCTATGCAGACTCTCTTTTGGTTCCATATGAAGCTTATGGTGTTTTTTTCCAGTTCTTTGAAGAAGGTCATTGGTAGCTTGATGGGGATAGCATTGAATCTATAAACTACTTTGGGCACTGTGGCCATTTTCATGATATTGATTCTTCCTAACCATAAGCATGGAATGTTTCTCCATCTGTTTGTGTCCTCTCTTATTTCATTGAGCAGTGATTTGTAGTTCTCCTTGAAGAGGTCCTCTACATCCTTTGTTAGTTGTATTCCTAGGTATTTTGTTCTCTTTGTAGCAATTGTGAATGGCAGTTCATTCTTGATTTGGCTCTCTTTAAGTCTGTTATTGGTGTATAGAATTGCTTGTGATTTTTGCGCATTGATTTTGTATCCTGAGACTTTGTTGAAGTTGCTTATCAGTTTCACGAGATTTTGGGCTGAGACGATGGGGTCTTCTAAATATACAATCATGTTGTCTGCAAATAGAGACAATTTGACTTCCTCCTTTCCTAAGTGAATACCTTTTTTTTTTCTTGCCTGATTGTTCTGGCTAGAACTTCCAAACTATATTGAATAAGAGTAGTGTGAGAGGGCATCCTTGTCTAGTGCCAGATTTCAAAGAGAATGCTTCCAGTTTTTGCCTATTCAGTGTCATATTGGCTGTGGGTTTGTCATAGATAGCTTTATTATTTTGAGATACATTCCATTGATATCTAGTTTATTCAGAGTTTTTAGCATAAGGGCTGTTGAATTTTGTCGAAGGCCTTCTCTGCATCTGTTGAGATAATCATGTGGTTTTTGTTTTTGGTTCTGTTTATGTGGTGAATTACATTTATAAACTTGCATATGTTGAGCCAACCTTGCATCCCTGGGATGAAGCCTACTTGATCATGATGAATAAGCTTTTTGATGTGCTGTTGTAATCGGTTTACCAGTATTTTATTGAAGATTTTTGCATCTGTTTTCATCACAGATATTGGCCTGAAGTTTTCTTGTTGAGTC